ACAGAACGAAGCACATTGCTCTCCGCTACTTTCTTGCTCGTGAGCTACAGCAGCGTGGACAGTTGCGACTTGCGTACGTGGCCTCTGAGGCCAACACTGCTGATGTCTTCACCAAGGCACTTGCGCCTTGTGATCATCAGCGTTGTTGCACGCAGTTGGGTCTTGTGCCTGTCTTGCCTCACTTGCTCTCCTCTTGACCTTGCTTGTACCTTCGCCTATATATACTCTTGTTCTTGCTTGTTTGCCTCTTGTATATCTCTATATATGATCTTGCATGTGAACTGGCCTTCTGGCCTTTGAACTTGTGCTCGGAATGCGTGGTGACTTTGTGATCCACCCTGAGCTTTGCTTTGCTTTGCTTGACTGGTCTTGTGACCCCTTGTTCTCCCCCACTTTGCCTATGGGGGTGTGTCAGAACATATAGCTTACTTGTTTCTGTAGGCTATAGTGGGGTATCTCATAAGGGGTACAACCCAATCAGGGTTTCCTATTTGTACTCACTTCGTTCATAGTCATTTCATTCTCGTTCACTTCTTCTCATGCCAAGCCATGAAGTCGACACAGCAGCGGCTAACTGGATTGTTGCAACCCCTGGAGCCACCCGGACAATCGGGGCAACAAGTGACAATGGACTTCGTCACGAGACTACCCACTGGCCCGTCCGGCAAAGGCGCTGTACTCATCGTCGTCGAACGCCTCATGAAAATGGCACAATTTGCACCTTGTCGTACAACAATCACAGCCGAAGAAACCACGCGCCTCTTCATCTCCACCGTCGTGCGACTACACGGAATCCCCTTTGTGGTCATCAGCGACAGGGACCCGAAGTTCACTTCGAAGTTTTGGAAGGAGACATAGGCACATTACGGCACGAAGCTACAGTTCTTGTCAGCCTACCACCCGCATACCGATGGCCAGACCGAGCGGACCAATCAGGCAATGGAGCAGCTTATTCACACGAACTGCCCTGAACCCCCTCGTTGGAAACCACACTCGCTATGCTGGAATTCGCGTGTAACAACCCATCGTCCAGCACGACTAATCACTCCCCGTTTTTCCTTAATTACAGGATGGACTAGGTGGTGCCAACCACGACTACCGTCGACAACCCGGTCCCACGGTCACAAACTTTTGTGATGGAACTCCAAGAGATTCACGAGAAAGCAGCCGATGCAATTCGCAAGGCTAACACCACTGCCCGAAAATAGACGGACCTTCTACGACGAGAAATCGTTATGGCGGCTGGACGACTAGTGCTGCTCGACACAAAAAGCCTTCGCTTGTCTGGCTCGAACAAACTACGGCCACGATTTTGTGGACCTTTTCGCATCATCCAGATGGTGACACCTGTCACGGCGAAGCTACTGCTACCCGACGACTGGCGTATACATGACGCCTTCCATGTCAGCCTTCTTCGCAAGTTGCAATGACATACATCACACGCCAGAACGCCGCCCTGACAGCCCGGCCTGTCACGGAACCAACACTCGATCCGTCTAAGATTTTGGCGCATCGTATTCGCCTCGACGCCCTCTGGCTGCGACGTGGACTTCTTAGTCTAATGGACTGACCGCGGTGTGAGGACGACACCTAGGTGTCATCCGCCTCGCTTGAAGTGTTCCCGCTTTTTAGTTATTGCCTCGCCCTCAAACGAGCTGCGGATATTGACCACCTTTGTTAGAAGAGGGGGGGGGGGGGGGGGGGGGGGGGGGGGGTAGCGTAAGGAATGTTCCCTTTTCCTTATTAGGGTTCACTTCTACGCGTACAACCCCGACATTTTGGACTCCACATGTTTCGGCCGAAACATACGCTTACAAAGCTGCCCCGCGTCGCCTTCGGATTTCCCGATCGCCGAACATGCACCCAAACTCGTCGCCCTACGGTCCCCTCCTAGCTGGGGTAGTCACTATATAATCTCGTGCCTTCATTGTACAATTAGTTCATTGAGTCACAATCTCGATATTCGTTATTCCGCGCACTCCTTTAAACAACCCTTTGATACACAATTTTGTTGCAACATAATGGAAGATAAATATGCTCACCTCTAAAAATATTGGAGTTTCTTCCTCTTTTTTTTTGCTATGGAATATCATTATATGTTCTGTGTAGATAGGGCAGTAATCTATGCTTGAAGCTGGAAGAATATAATACATGATGTGGTGTTGCTGCAAAAACTACAACGAAGTGGCTCTCTGCAGCGGGGACGCAACCCTGCAGACCTGAGGGAGGTGCGATGAACCTGTGCCATGAGGCGTCAGGTTGCACAACTTCTGTAGGCTCACTGCGGTCAACTTTGTTTTGTCACGGTGCAAAACGAGAACCGGTTTCCACCCTGTGGAACCTTCCGGAGCGAAGATACAAGTACAACTGTGCGAGAATTGCGCAACCTGGCCTCGCCTTGAGTTTACGTGTGAACGCAGCAAAATTTGGGTGCTTTGCTTTGCATGTCGCGACCAGTCCGACCTGAGCTGACAACATTGTTGGTTTTGGTCTGTGTTCCCAGGGAGGCGACTGATCAATTCTGGAATTGAGTTGTGCAACGGACCACGCATTGTTCGTATGTGGTCCCAATATCCACTTCGCTTACATCCCACCACCAGCCCACGAGGAAGGGGCATGACAAGAATCCGACCCGAACCCCCAGCCCCACCCAACGACTATCTCTACAAACTCCTCAGGTTGAGGGCTTTCGTGGAGTACACCTTGAAAGTCTTGGAGCAACTTCTCACCCGCCCTACTGTCCTGTCCATCGCTCACAATTCCGCGATGCCCCTCCCTCCATCCATTAGCAAAGCACTCCGCTTGACTCGGGGTCACTCACATCTGGTGTGACGTGTGCTGTAATGTTCGTACTGAACGAAGTACACCCTCATTCTCAGTCTTCTCATCGGCGGAAGCAGTGGCTACAGTGTTTGGACGTAGCGGGCTGGTGAGATAACTCGGTTGCGGGCCAAGTCGCACGAGGCGACGAAACCAGACTTGGGCCGTAAAATTCCGTTAACGCTGAATAACTGTCTTAACCGTTTAGAAAACAGCATTACCATTTTAGAACGTATAGAACCTTGACTAAACGCCCTGGGTCAAACTGTCAGTATAACGCATGTGATAGGACCTTCTTTGGTCCGCTGCGGCTACTCTAAGCGTCACGGTCAGTATAACATATGCCAGTCTAACGAGAATGAGGGTGTACACCTTGAACTGTTGTACAGCACACCTTTTTTTTTTTTTTTTTTTTGTCGGACCCCGTGTATGAGTCATGGTGAGGGGGAGAGGACCACGCCGCCAATTCTCTTGCTACGATCGCCTCACCTCAGCACAACCTAACCAACCACCATCCATCCACCATCCACAACAGCCCTCTTCCGCAGCAACTGTACAACAAAATGGAGTAGCAAAGCAAAGCTACCAAGTGTAGTCCGAGTCGCTAGCCTAGGTTCCGAACCTAACAAGACTAATCCCGCACCAAGCGCTGAAATTGTTGTGACATGCTGTACCAACTTCTTCTTTTAGAATCTAGACGGTCGTCATTTACTAATTTACCTCGCTTCTTGCACCCACCTCCCGCACATAGGCTCAATTCCCAACAATATTTCTCACTCAAGCACCCGCTCCGCCTTCACGCGACGTGTGCATTCTCTTGCCTGTACTATATGAACTCGGCGAGCCGAGCTTGGCCACTAGCGGCACAGGCGGCCAGGAGAAGCCGCTCGGCCCATGGCCCTTGTCGCCGTGCCAGCCGCAGTGTCGTTTAGCCCGCCTGCCAGGCCGCCATTCTCCTCTAATCCTCAAAGCGACCCCGTTCATCTCCATTCTTTTTTCTCCTCCTCCTACCTCCCCGCCGCCGCCGACGCCGCCGCCGCTACCGCTGCCCCCGTCGCCGCTCGCGGACCAGTGGAGTGCGTGACTGCGCAGACGTTCAAACGCGGCAGGCAGGCGTGGCGAAACATTCCTCCTGCCGCCTCCACGGTGGCGCAATAGTTTTGGCTGAAACGCGGGGCGGTTCGGCAGGCGAGGCAATGTCGGACGGGACGGAACTAGCCGGGGAGGAGGGTCTGCACAAACAACCAACAGAGCCAGCTGCTGATGTCGTAGCGGACAATGACGCGTACAATTCCGCCGCCGCATGTGCCGCTCCCGCGGTTTCCGGTGGTGGCGGTGCGCTGGCAACTACTCCAGGCTCGGGCGAAGCTTTGAACGAGCCTTTTCCAAAAAAACGCGCGCACATAACGAGGGCTCATGACGTTGTTTCCGCCACTTGCGCCGATGACGGCGACGCCGGCGCGAGCGGAGACGTTGACGGGTGTGAGGTGGTAACTTTCGAGGAAGGAACGGACAGGGAGGTGAAAGACGAGAGCTACAACAGCAGCGTCAGCACGGCTAGTACCGTTACCAGCAGTCGCGGCACGAGCACTACCAGCAGCGGCAGCAACAGCAGCACCATCAGTCGCGCAATCGGGAGCTCCAATGGTAGTACTAGCGACCCTGGCAGGCTAAAGCCACAGTATAGGAGCCTCAGCGTCGAGCCGCCTGCCGACGTGGTAGGTGGCGCTCGAGGCAGCTACGACTCCACTCTGACCGCCGCTCTCGCTGCTCCCGCTGCTGCCGCTGCGCCCGGTGCGCCCGCTGACCCTAAGTCCGCTTTCTCTTTCGCGCCCACTTTGGACACCGAAGGCGCTGCCGCCGCCGTTGCCGCCGCCGAAAGAGAACGCGGCGGTCTTTGGAGGAACGACCGGCGAGCGAGGAGCAGCCGAAGCGCGGGGGGCACGCCTGTATCGATCCCGAAAACAGACACGCCCAAAACTCCCAAAACTCCTAAGACGCCGAAAACGCCGGCGGCGACGGCGGAAAATCTGACTCCACGCGCCAGGAGCGGCGGCGGAAGCTTCGCGAGGCGCCTGTCGGCCAACGGCGCGCGGAAATCCCTGGGCTTCACGCGGAGGTTCTTCGTGGGCGAGACACTGGGGCAGGGCGGCTTCGGGCGCGTCGATCTCTGCAACGACATGCTCGATGGCGGCGGCGCTGGCGGCGGCGGGAAAGGGCGAGGCGGCGCGCTGGCGGTGAAGACGATCGATAAGCTCGCGATGTACGAGGGGTGCCTGCGGCCCGAGCAGATGGCGGAGCGCCACGCGGCGCTGAAGCGCGAAGTGATGGTGCTGAAGATGCTGTCGGGGCATCCGAATATCGTGCAGGTGAGCACCGTGCGCGCGGCGCGCGGGGGAAAGGGGGAAAGAGTGCAACGAGATGGGAGCTAAGAAAGTTGTTTGGGGAGAAGGGGGAGGGGGAAGCGGGAGAGTGAAGAGGGAGGCGGGGAAAGAGGAGGGAGAACTGGCCTGGTTGTTTAGGTCTTGATACTTCCCCAATGGGGTGCCATGCCATCCAGGATGTTTTTTTATGTAGGAATTAAAAGTGATTCCCATTTACAGCAAAAATGGAGGAATTCTTCGAGAGCCAGGTTTCGGATTTTGTGGATGGAGGAACCTTCCCATGTTAAAACACTCCAACATCATTCTCTCGCTCTTGTTAGATCCCCTCACCTCACTCCCTTTCAAATAAGTAACCCCCCCCTCTCCCCTTTTCCTCCTTCCCCTCTCCCCCCCCCCCCCCCCCCCCCTCCTTGCCCCTTTTCTTTCTCTCTCTGCCCTTCCTCTCTCCCCTCTCCCGCACAGGTGAAGAAAGTGTACGACTCGAAAGCGAGCCTTCGAGTGGTCATGGAGTATTGCGACGGCGGCACTTTAAAGGATCGCCTCTTACAGTGTATGGAGCAGCACCAAGCCGCCGAATCAGCGAACGGAACTACTTCCTCCTTTCTATCCCCAGGGAAGCTTGTTGGTTGGGATATCAAGAGCACTTTCAAGGGCATAAGGGAAGGAATTACAGGAACGGTGGGTGGAGGGAACAAGAACGTGGGACGTGTTTGGGCCGGGGGGATGGAGGAGCAAGATGCTGCTGATATTTTCCGCCAGCTTGTTACAGCGGTACACTACTGCCACTCGAAGAATGTGCTGCACCGCGATATAAAGCTTGAAAATGCTCTGCTGGTCTTGGGTGAAGGGGATGAGGGTAAGAACGAGTGGCAAGGAAAAGGTGAGAGAGATGGGAAGGGAGGTGGGGGTGGTGGAGGGCGTGCCATGGAAAAGCATGTTAGGGTGAAGGACGGAGAGGGAGCAGTTGGAAAAGGAGGCTCTCAAAAGCGAGAAGAGCAAATGGTTGCTGCAAGGAAGGCGCGGGTGGTGGCTGATGCACAAGGCAAAACAGGCGAGGGCAATTTTGAGACAGAGTCTGAAGCAGATGCAGATGCGTCAACAGGAGAAGCAGCAGCAGAGACAGAAGCAGCCACAGCAGCAGAAGCAGCAGCTTCACCTGTAAGGGGTGGTGTTTCGAGAGGGGGTCTCATCCGCTCACGTTCCTTTGATCCCCCTGAAAAGTCACCAGGCCTCCTTACCAATCCGTCTGGCACCATCCCCACCTGCCACTCAGCCGACGACCCTCCTTCTTTTCGCCGACTTCCTTCCTCCCTCCCTGCCACAGTCAAGCTAGCAGACTTCGGCCTCGCTATAGTGCTCTCGCCCAACAAGCAGCAGGTGACTGGCAAGTGCGGCACGTCAGGGTACATGGCTCCAGAAGTGGTTTTAGGTAAGAGTTACGGGCTAAGTGCGGACGTATGGAGCCTGGGAGTGGTGCTCCATGCGCTTCTCTTTGGCGAGCTACCGGTGTACAATCAAGAGAAGGACGTGGCCAAGTTCGGCGTACCTAGACCGAGCGGGAACAAGTGGAAGGCTGCTTCTCCTCTCGCGCTCGACCTGTACAAGCGGCTTTTGCAGATTGACCCTGCGAATCGGATCCCGCTCTCCGATGCGCTCAAGCACCCGTGGTTCAACGCTTGCAGCAGCAGCGGCAGCGGCAGCAGCAACAGCAGCTCGGCTCGCAATGGCACTATCACAGTGCCCACGAGTATTACCCCAGACACCACCAGTCGCAGCCCCAGCGACATTGGGAATTATTTTCGCAGAGGAGGCTCTTTCCAACGGTTTGGCAGCTTGAGGAGTGGGCGGGTGGATAGGGACGGGAACGGAGGCAGCGCGAGGAGGAGAGGAGTGCAGCTGAAAATCACAGTGGCTGGGAGAACTCTTGCGTTGAAAATGAACATGGGGGGCCTGTGGCATGTGGGGATGGGTCAACAATAGAACTGAAGGGTCAATAGCAGGCCTCTCGATATCAGGGTAAAACACCCTTATGGCCCTTACTATAAGGGTGGGTTTAGGTGATCACCCTTGTTTTTAAAACTTGTATTTTGAGGCACCCTTAGCCGAAAAAGTGTTCATTTTGTTAACACTGATTTTTAAGACAGGCCTGGTACTCGCCCTGATGACAAAGACTAGTGTCGCGTACCACCCTGATGCGATTTCACGCGGCGGGGGGGGGGGGGGGGGGGGGGGGGGGGGGGGGGGGGGTGGGGGGTGGTACTGACGAGATTTGGGCCGTGATTAGCGGCGTTTTGCTTGAGTCAGCAGATGTGCGCGTCGCCTTGACGGCTCGCGTCGCCACTGCCACAGGCTCATCAACTGTACCTGGCTCACCTGCAATCTTCCTAGTTGCCAATGCCGCGCAGCGCCACACACACCTGCTTTGTGCAGGAGGTGTGTCCACCAGTGAAGCTTCTTCTTCCCTCCCCAGCAAGCCCCCACCCACCGACCAGTCTCTCCCACGCACCCAACCCAGTCCTCCTTGTCTCATTTCTCAATTCTGCCTCCTCGCTATCTCGTCTGGTCTAGAGTTTGCTTTGCACACCACCCCACCACCACGCTCTCCCAACAGCTAGCGTAGGCCCAGCTCCTGCAACCACCCCTCTGGCCCTCGTCATGGCTGCTGACGAAACCAGCGATGGTGACGACGAGGCGGGCCGTGAACTCCAAAAATCACCCCCACGAACGGGCCTCAGCTTTCTACGAACCCCCACTAAGAAGCTGTCAGATCCGGAGCCCGTAGTTGCTTCAACCGAGGACGAAACCCGCGCAGATGATTCAGGGCCTGACCTGCGCTCACCTGAAGTTTGCACTACCACGGCGGAACCCTCACCTCCAGAAGCGACGGCTCCTGAAACGGAGATAGGCGATGCGGCTGGCGACTCTGCGAACAAGAAGCGCAAAGAGTCAAGCGGTGGCAGTGCTACGCAGTGGTGGCGACAACCGAAGCCCTCTGTGAAGCGGGCAGCACGTCCAATCCAACGAGTGGAGGACGAGGGAAGTGATGACAACGAGGAAGAAGACGGCCTGCCAACTGTCGAAGAGATGGCCCGTTACCCCGAGGTCGCTTTCGCTAAAGCGCATAAGCGGTTTAAGACTTCATGGGAGTCTTTGTTTCCGTGGCTAATTCTAACTCGTGATGACGTTGGCTTCCCCATTTTGAGATGCAGCACGTGCTTGGAACATGGAGGTGAAGGCGCGAAAACGGCTTATGGCAAGGGAGGCAGTGGAGGGCGTGACATGCAGAAGGGGAGCATCCGGACGCACCAGCGCTCCACCGCACACCACGATGCACACGCCGAGATGAAGTCGAAGGAGAGCCGGAAGCTTCGTCAAACGCTGCTGAGCGAGTTCGAGGGGTTGGATCGCAGCACTCTTCACATCATCACTGCTCTCAAGACTACCGTGTACATATGCAAGTCGGAGGCGCCAATCACCTCCTACGTGGGCACCATCAAGTTCATGGCCGAGCTCGGAGTCCCGAACCTTCCCTTGGATTCCAAGGGAAACTACTTTTCGGAGTAAGTTTCGGGGTACTTGGTGTCGTTGTACTAGTTCCGTTACAACTGTCTTGATTGATCACGTGCTAACCTCTGTGCTTGTATCATACAGGTACGGTTTCGGGGAGCTGCTAGAAGCTGCAGCGAAGTACATGCGGCAAGAGCAACTGAAGCAGATCGAGGCAAGCCCGTACATCTCCATTCAGCTCGATGAGAGTACTGACAAGGCGCGCGGCAAGCACATGATAGTCTACGTCCACTTCATGAAGGAGGGAGCGAGCGTCTGCGAGTTCCTCACGCTGCTGACAGTTGACAAGTGTGCCGCGGCAAGTCTAGTCGACGTGCTACTGACCCACCTTGACGCCGTGGGCATGGACTTGTCCAAGATTGTTGGAATCTGCACCGACGGCGCCAGAGTAATGACGGGCACCAGCAATGGTGTTGTGGCACGACTCCGGCAGCGGAATCCCTATCTCGTGTCGTGCCACTGCATCGCACATCGGTAAGTCCGTCATTGTTACTGGCTGTATGGCAGGTGTGTGTTGATCATGTACTGCCCACTCACTTCAATCGCTCGTTTCCTCCGTTCTACCTTGAGCAGGGAGGCGTTGGCCGCGAAGGATGCCGCTGAGAAGGTGACGGAGTTCAACATTATAGACCAGGCGGTGCGCAACGTGGCGGAGCAGCTTTCTAGGTCGAGCAACTGGCACCGGCGATTCGAGCACCTTCAGGAGTACATCTGCGAAACCAACCTGGAGCTGCAGGGGATCCACGACGTGCGATGGCTCTCTAGAGGAGAGGCAGTCAAGCGGTTTGCCAAGGTTCTGCCGGCGACAATCGTCCTGCTGCACGATTTCAAGCACGCGCTATACGAAACGGTCACCTCTTTCAAATTCCACTTCATGCTTTTCTTCCTTGCAGACATTCTTGCCGTGCTCAACGAGCTCAACGCCAAGTTCCAGAAGCAGCAGGTGACATGTGGAGTGTTTTGGTTGTACATATAGGCGTTTGTGTCACTGCCATGTTCCCGGTTGGTGTGCGCCGTTGAGACCCATTGTACATCAACCTCTGGCAGCAACTATTCATCCCACGCCCACTCACAGGTTGACATCACCGTGGTCGCGGGGGAGGTGTCACTCGCTTGCCGGACGATCGAGGTGCGTTACGTGGACTGCGAGGATCGTTTCGGCAACGATCACTCGCCCCTGCTCTGCGCGTTCCTGAAGAAACACGGCAACCCCCAGCACCGCGAAGTCACCGTCCAAGGCGTGGACCAGAACGGCGAAGCTGCAGAGCACGAGTTCGTGCTTCACGAGCGCAAGATCCCAGGCCATAAGACTGGTGGGGACTACTATTCTTGCAAGGCGGTGTGCCAGGAGTTTGCGAGGGTTTGCGTTGCGCGACTGGAGTTCCGCCTAGAAGACCTCAAGAACCTGGCCGGCTCCAAGCTTTTCCGGCCATCGTGCTATCCCGACGACAACGCGCAGCGGGTGAAGAAGTGTCGCGAGTGGTTGGGCATGCTAGACCACATGTTTCACCACCGCCTCTTTGGTACGCCACCTGGTTGTGCCTGCAATGTGCTGTCTGCTGTGTGTGTGTGTGTACCTTGGTGTGCTATTAAACACCTCCTATACGCCCCAATCGCCCCTCTCACTGCTCTGCTCTCCCATCCTGGCAGGTGTGTGCTTCAAGGCGTGCGAGAGGGAGCTACCGTTGTTTCTCCACACCATGGATACCAACCACGGGAACATGAGCTTCCATAAGTCGCTCTCGCTCATGCTCCAGTCAACTGACTACGTGGCAGCGTACCCGAACCTTGTGCAGCTGTGGCAGGCCGTAGCTGTGCTCCCCCTCAGCACGGTGGAGTGCGAGCGGGGCTTCAGACGCCAGAACCGTATCAAGACGTGGAAGCGGACCTGCTTGGGCGACGCCAAACTGGGCGATCTGATGACTGCAGCGCTCCTGCCCAGTGATGGTCTGAACTGGGTGAATGTGGTAGCCGTGTTCAATGCTAGCAAGAAGCGTCGTCCTGCCCAAGAGTTTTTGTATTGATTTTGCTACTCTGCTCCCTGCTAGGAGTATTCTGCTGGAACCAGACCAGGCCAGACCATCCTATATGTAGGTCCTGTTGTTGTTCTAGTTCTAGTCATATATTTTATTGTTCTTTGCACGTCATGTCATGTCAACCTAAACATTAAGCGTTGGTTAAAAAAAATTGGTTCAACTAACCGAGGGTACATAATGTAACGCTTTATGTCAGAACATATCTATAGCTTATACTGCTGTGTAGGCTGTAGTGGGGTATCCCATAGGGGGTACAACCCAGTTAGGGTTTCATATTTGTACTGCTTTCATTCATAGTTCATTCATTCCTGTTTTCCTATTTTCACATGGTATAGAGCGGGTCCTACCTTAGGACCGTTGTCTGGGCCCACCGACGCGCGCCCCGAGGCGCGCCCTTTTTTTTAGCGACCCCTCGGGTCGCCTTTTCACTCGCGGCCCCGCCGCCTCCTCTGACGCGGCTTTGCCGCCTCCCCTGACGCGACCCAGCCGCCTCCCTTGACGTGGCCCCGCCGCCTCTTTTAACGCGGCCCCGCCGCCTCCCTTGACGCGGCCCCGCCGCCTCCCTTGACGCGGCCTCGCCGCCTCCCCTGACGCGGCCCCGCCGCCTCCCCTGACGCGGCCCTGCCGCCTCCCTTGACGCGGCCCCGCCGCCTCCCTTGACGCGGCCCCGCCGCCTCCCCTGACGCGGCCCCGCCGCCTCCCCTGACGAGGCCCCGCCGCCTCCCCTGACGCGACTCCGCCGCCTCCCCTGACGCGGCCCCGCCGCCTCCATTGACGCGGCCCCGCCGCCTCCCCTGACGCGGCCACGCCGCCTCCTCTGACGCGGCCCCGCCTCTGCTGCCGACGGCCCCGCCGCTGCACTCTACGGCCCGCCGCTGCACCCTGCCGGCCCGTCGCTGCTCCTGCCGGCCCGCCGCTGCACCCTGCCGGCCCGCCGCTGCTCCTGCCGGCCCGCCGCTGCACCTACCGGCCCGCCGCTGCACCCATCGGCCCGCCGCCTCTTACGGCCCGCCACTTGCACCTGCCGGCCCGCCGCTGCACCTGCCGGCCCGACGCTGCACCTGCCGGCCCGACGCTGCATCTCCCGGCCGAGCCGCCCCAGCAGTCGAGCCGCCCGGGACCCGAGCCGCCCTGCCGCCGAGCCGCCCGGGAGCCGAGCCGCCCTGCACCCGAGCCGCCCAGCCGCCGAGCCGCCCGGGAGCCGAGCCGCCCTGCACCCGAGCTGCCCAGCCGCCGAGCCGCCCGGGAGCCGAGCCGCCCTGCGCCCGAGCCGCCCAGCCGCCGAGCCGCCCGGGAGCCGAGCAGCTGTGCACCCGAGCCGCCCGGTCGCTGAGCCGCCTTTCTGCTGACTGCACGACCTGCCCTGCCTGGTGAGCACTGTCCCACTGACACTGCGAGCTCTTTCCCTACTGCTTGCACTGCGTCGCTATCGTCACCATGGCTACCCCTAGTGTCCTAGCTTTTGACGCTGAGGGTCGCGCCATTGATTTTGAGGTCTGGTTAGACGACCTGCAGCTGTTCTTACAGTGCGACAGGGCTGACGACCTTTCTCTCTTTGACCTCACCTCTGGCGCCTCTCCTGCCCCTGCTGCTGATGCTGATCCCGCTGTCCGCTCTAAGTGGGCCACCCGCGATGCTGCTGCACGTCTTGCTGTGCGTCGCCACCTCCCTACATCTGAGCGTGCGCACTTTAGTCAGTACAAGAGTGCTCAGACCTTGTACGACGCTGTAGTTGCGCGCTACTCCTCCCCTGCCACTGCTGCACTGAGCCGTCTCATGCTTCCCTACCTCTTTCCTGACCTCTCTGCCTTTACCACTGTCGCTGACCTCATTACGCACCTCCGCACTAGTGACACTCGCTACCGCGCCGCCCTTCCTGCTGAGTTCTGCGCTAAGAACCCCCCCCCCATGTACATCGCTCTCTACTACGTAGTCGCACGCCTCCCTGACTCCCTTCGCGTCGTCAGGGACCACTTTCTCGCAGTCTGTCCCACCACTCTCACCGTCGACCTCCTCGAGAAGGCCCTCCTTGCAGCGGAGAAGAGCATAGTCGCTGTAGGTGCTTCTCGTGGTGACCCTCGCACCTCCATCTTTGAGGGGTGCTCTCCTTCCCCCTTGCTGCCCTCTGTTGCCTCTGCTGCTGCTGCCGACCTGCTTGGTCTTGAGTCGGTCGGCGCGGCGTCTGCCCCTAGTGGGAGACGTCGCTCCAGCAAGGGCAAGGGGGGCAAGGGCGCGGGTGGAGCTGGAGGGGGCGGTGGCGGTGGCGGCGGTGGCGGCGGAGGGAGTGGGGGTGGCGGCGGGGCTAGTGGCGGGGGTGGTGGTGGTGGTGGCGGCAGCAGCGGCGGAGACGGTGGTGGTGGTGCCAGCGGTGGTGGTGGAGGCAGCGGCGGAGGTGGAGGCGGCGGAGGTGGAGGCAGTGGAGGCGGCAGCGGAGGAGGCAGTAGTGGTGGAGGAGGTGGAGCTGGTCGGGGTGGTACCCAGCAGCGTAGCGGCGGTGGTGGTGGCCAGCGCTCGCACCGGCAGCAGCAGCAGCGCTCGCGGGACATCCCTTCGCCTCAGCAGCTTCCTGAGTGGTACGCTGGGCGTCAGAGGGGTGGGGGTACTGGTCCCTGCACCTACGTTCTTCGTTCCGGCGACCGCGCGGGTGAGCAGTGTGGGGGTGCCCACGCCACCCAGCGCTGCTTTGGCCGCCTGACGGTCGCTTGGCGTCAGCAGTTCCCTGGGGCTAGTGAGATCCCTCGCTGGGATGAGCTTCTCAGGGCTGGTGTAGCGATCTTTGATCTTGATTTTGATGCTATCCTTACTGCTATGTATGTTGTGGATTATAGTGAGGAGAATGAGGGTTACCGGTGTTTTCAGCCCGACCCGGGCATTGGTACTGCTGCGCTAGGTGCTTGTGAGGCTGCTGCTCTAGGTGCCAGTGCGTCTGCGCTCTCAGGTACTGGTGAGACTGCGCTCTCAGGTACTGAGTCGTCCTCGTCCTCCCTCACTTTCACACTTGACTCCGGAGCTTCTCGCTCATTCTTTCGAGACCGCACTACCCTTTCGCCGCTCGCCAGGCCGGTTGCGGTCTCCCTTGCTGACCCCTCTGGGGGTCCTGTCCTGTCTCACTTCTCCACTGTCCTCCCGTGTCCGGCTGCCCCTTCGGGCACCCTGTCGGGTCTGTACCTTCCCTCGTTCTCTACGAACTTGGTGAGTGGAGCGGACCTGCAGGATGGGGGTGTTCACCAGTTCACTCCTGCGCGTCAGAGGGTGACCCACTGCACGGAGGCTCGCACAGGCCGACACCTGGCCACGTTCTCACGTCGGCCGGGGTCGAGTCTCTACACCCTGACCGTTGAGTCTCCTCCTGTCCCTGCGTCTGGTCAGGTGGCTGCGTCGGGTCAGGTACTTGCTGCTGCGTCCCGGTCAGGTCCTGAGTCTGCCCCCTGTTCTTGTCGCCTCCTGTCTCACGAGACTCTCCTGTGGCACCACCGTCTTGGCCACCCCTCCTTGCCCCGTCTTCGGAGCATGGCTTCCCGTGTCCTTGTCTCTGGTCTTCCCCAGTCTCTCCCTCCTCTCCCCTCCGGGCCAGGACCTTCCTGTGTCCCCTGTGTCGAGGGTCGCCTCCGGGCTACTCCTCACTCCTCCCACTTCCTCCCGACAGAGGCTCCCCTGCAGACGCTTCACATGGATGTGTGGGGCCCAGCCCCCGTCCGTGGGCAGGGTTACGAGCGCTACTTCCTGTTGGTGGTTGACGACTACTCGCGTTACACCACAGTCCTCCCCTTGCGCAGCAAGGGTGCGGTCACTGAGGTGCTGATCGACTGGATCCGCGAGGCTCGTCTCCAGCTCAGGAAGAGCTTCGGCTCGGACTTTCCTGTTCTGCGTCTGCACTCTGACAGAGGCGGAGAGTTCTCTTCTCGCCTTCTGCGAGACTACTGTCGTGCACGGGGGATCCGCCAGACCTTCACGCTTCCGGACTCACCACAGTAAAATGGGATTGCTGAGCGCCGCATTGGCATGGTCATGGATGTCGCTCGTACGTCCATGATGCATGCGGCTGCCCCCCATTTTCTGTGGCCGTTTGCGGTGAGGTACGCGGCGCATCAGCTCAACCTTCACCCCCGGGTCTCTCGGCCAGCGATGTCCCCAGCCTTGCTGTGGACGGGGAAGGTTGGCGATGCGTCTGTGTTCCGTGTCTGGGGATCTCGGGCGTTTGTCCGCGACTTGTCTGCGGACAAGCTGTCCCCTCGTGCTGCTCCCTGTGTCTTCCTTGGCTTCCCCACTGACGCCCCAGGGTGGCAGTTTTACCACCCCTCCTCTCGTCGTGTTCTGTCCTCCCAGGACGTCACGTTCGAGAAGTCAGTCCCCTTCTACCGTCTCTTCCCCTACCGCACTCCTTCCCTCCCCCCTCCCCCGGACTTCCTTGTGCCGGTTCCCCCCCCGGTAGACCCCCTCCCCCCTCAGGTTCCTGCCCCCTCAGGTGTGTCCCAGGTAGACGCCGTTGACCCGGTCGAGGTTACTGGTGACTCTGGTGCTGCTGCGGGTGCTGAGCCTGGGGGTGCTGACTCTGGGGGTGCTGTGCGCGGGGGTGCTGAGCCTGGGGGTGCTACTGCTGGGGGTGCTGGGCCTGAGGGTGCTACTGCGGAGGGTGCGGAGCCTGGGGGTGCTGAGCCGGGGGGTGCTGTGCCTGGAGGTGCTGGGTCTGGGGGTGCTG